AAGACAATGAAAAACTTTTATTTCCTAGAAAAAATCCTAAAAATCTCTAAAACTTTGTTAATTTAGATTTTTTGAAAAAATCGCATTCTATGATGAAAATTGGATCCAAAATTCTCTTAAAAATTTGTCAAAAAATTTACCAAAAAAGAAAGAAAATATTCATAACTTAAATAGCATTTGAGTTTTATAAATGAAGCAAAACCGTGTCAGAAATTCTGTTTAAAAATAATTAATATCACTGCATGTATCTTCATTATAAATCATCACCATTTCAAGTGTTTGTCACCAGAATCAAATAAATCACGTGACTCGTGTGGACGTCTTCGTTCTTCCTTCTGCTTGTTTTGTTTTTTTATTCATAATGATCATTTTTGAGTATTCTTGCTAGCATATTTGAGAGGCTCTGGGAAAAAATGATAAAGTTCTTAACATTTATTATGTACAAAAGAGCGTAAGGGAAGGAAAGACAGGCAATCTGGAGTGTCGAGTAGAGTAAAGTTGAAGAATGGTGATTTCTTTTTTTTTTTTTTTTTGGTTTTCCTAAAAAAAGGGAAATTATTTTGGATATTTTTTTTCTTGGTTTAGTTTGAAATTGTTAAATTTTTTAAACATCTGTATTTGCGTAATTTGTGGCAATGTTTAGAAGAATGATCATATTGTGTTTGAAATTATTTAAATATTGTTTTCTAAAAATGTACCGCCTTTATTGTTGGTTTGTTGCCTTAAGGGGCTGTGTAGAGTTTCAAGTGTCATTCAAATTAAAACTTGAAAATGTAGGTGATTCTTATTATTCGTAAGGGTTTGAAATTTTTCTGTACATTGACCTCTTTTTTGTGTGTAAATGTTTATTTCTTTGGGATAGGATTGATATTTTAGTGTTATTAATTGTTTGATCATTTATTTTAGAGAGTAATTAGTAGTTGGTGTTAAATGTGGTAATTTGAGATAAAGTGTTTGAAGTTGAATGTTTACAGAAATTTGGGATAATTGATATATCAAATGTTGTGTAAGAAACTAGAAATTTCAGCTAGCAACTTTTAATGGAACCAACAAAGTTTACGTCTCAAATATCTCAATATTAACAAAGTTTTAGAGGTTTTTAGTTTTGACTTGATTTTTCTGATTGATTTTTTAGAGGGAAATATAAGAGATCACAGATTAACTCGCCAGAAACTAAGGTTCTGGTTGTGGAATAGTTGGTGTATATTCTCCCAATTGAAACATAAGATATAAGGCGTGCAGGTATTTACAGTCGAACGGCTCTTAGCTTTAGGTGAATTGATCAAAGGCGGTTAATGGACACGATATCAATAAAAACTGGACACATTGGAAGGCTATACACAAACATTGGACGTGACTGATCACATACCAGAGACCAGATAGAACCAGGCATTTGCCTGTGAACTGTGAAACAAAATAGGCTTACAAAAGGATCAACATTGAAAATCCAGAAACCGAAATATACTATCGTCTTACAACAATAGCTTCCAAACGGAAGTCAGCGCAATAACAGAATGTGTAAACTGGATTGGAGTAATTATGGCGCCAACATAGCTCAATATATTTGCCGACAGTTAATTAGGGCGATTTCAGATAATAATATTAAACCATAGACCAAATTGGACAGTAAGTGAGTCTCAACCGAATACTTTTCCAGAGGAAAGCTTTGCATTATATGGGTACCAGACCACTCGCGAATAATCATCAGAATAATCATTCGGTGCATCGTGGGCTGGTTATAATGAAAAGATGAATAGAACCATAAAGATTATATGGGAGAGAAGAACAAAATTACTCCCCGAAAAGAAAGTGAATTGATGGAACTGTTTGCCAGGCTTTCGTCGAAATTAGATCCAAATATTTTGGGAGTGATGTTATTGCAGATATTACATCCCTCAGGATCCTGATTGGAAAATTTTAAGGTACTACATCTAGGAAACTTAGTTTCTGAACAGTGATCTACAATTCCTTTCATAGGTCGCTATATAACTTTTCAGGCCAACATTTTCCCTGAAAAGAATTGTACAACAGGCTCTATAGCGGCTTAGGTGGAATTCTCCGAAACTAGAGACGAACTATAGTGAATTTAAAACCCCTTAAAGTTACTTTATAACCTTCGATCGACAAACGAGCTGACATTGCGGGATCGTTAAGAATTTTGCAACGGATTCGCATGAACGTATAGCATGCGGAGAGTTTTTCTGCCATTACCAAGCTTTCGTCAAAATTGAATCCAAATATCTTGGGAGTGATGTTATTCCAGATATTACATCCTTTGGGAGCAGTAATTAGAAAATTCTAAGGGACTACATCCAATAAACTTAATTTCTGAACAGTGATCTACAATTCCTTTCGTAGATCGCTATATAACTTTTCCAACCAACATTTTTCCATGAAAAGGAGTGTACAACAGACCTGATAGCGGACTAGGTGCAATTATTCAGAACTAGAGATATACTATAGAGAATTTTTAACCATACTATAGAGCCTTTATAACTATCGACCTATAAACTGACTGATATTGCGTGATCGTTAAGAGTTTTACAACAAATTTGCATGAATGTAGAGCATATGGAGAGGACAATGAAACGCTGAATAAGTTAATCTATCATTGCCAGACTTTCGTCGAAATTAGATCGAAATATCTGGGTAGTGATGTCATTTCAGATATTACATCCCTCAGGAGCACTGATTAGAAAATTCTAAGGAGCTATGTTCGGGAAACTTAGTTTCTGAACAGTAATCTACAAATCCTTTTAAAGATCGCTTATGGCCAACATTTTTCCATGAAAAGGAGTGGACAACAGGCTCGATAGCGGACTAGGTGTATTTCTTCGAATCTAGAGATGGATTATAGAGAATTTTTAACCACTTAAGTGCCTTTGTAGCCTTTGATCAACAAACTGGTTGATATTGCGGTATCGTTAAAAGTTTTACAAGGCCTTTTGAGGTCTACGACCGATATTACCAGGTGACCCCCTTGCATATTAAAATGATACATTTTTAATACGAATAGACAATGAAAAGCTATTATAAATCTTTCGTAAGCAATTATTAAAATAAATAATTAATTTTAAACATTTTCTTTTAATATTTTAAATAATTTATCTACTTTTCATGAAAAATCTTAATTAAAAAGAGAAAAAAAAAACAAAAAACAACAAGTATTTATTTTTAATTTTTAATATTTGTATAATAAATATTACCAATCTGTAGCAATTATCGAATGACTAATTAGCCATATACCAACCAAGTCTACATATGCTTCTCATCCACCCAATCAACCAAATACGTATGTATTTTATATATGAAAAGAGCCAAAGACATCTTTAGCAAATTTATAAAATTATACGAAGAATTTCAAATGAAAAGAATTTGAAATTTTTGAACTAATGAACATTTAACCAAGTCATAAATGAAGCAAACAAGCGTCATTAAAAACTGAAATTATTAACACATAATTTAGGAAATTTCATATATATTTTACTTGTCTTATTTTCGTTTGTTTTTGTTCTTATTATTTATTTTCATATTTGTATTTTTTTATTATTAATGTTATTCAGACATATGAAGGAGAAAGTGTCATTTAAGTTTTAAACATAATGGAGAATTTTTGAATGATTTCAAAAACATTTTTTTTTTCCTTTTTTTACATTTAACGCAAAAACACGCAAGTCATTAAAAGAAAAGTGTATTCTTGATCTTTATAAAGACTCTTTGAGTCTGTGCCAACATTTATTAAAATGTCTTAATTATTTATGATGCAGTTTCATAAAAAAATTTTCTGAAAGAAAAACATATACACAAATTGTTGAGGAAAATATACAATTACACTTGGAGAAAATGAGAAATTTATAGTTAAAATTTACATATTATTTGAGTTCATTGGTGATATTCTGAACAACGGAGGATGATGCTCTAAATTTCATCAAAATATCTTGAAAATTTCGCCCAGTGCCTTGTGCACAAGGTTTAGATGGAAGCCGGACAGATGGACGGACATGTCTTAATCGGCTCAGAAAGTGATTCTGAGTCGATCGGTACTTTAAGATGGACCAATATTTCAGTGCGTTACAAACATCAGTACAAACGCTAATATCCTACCTATAAATTCGGTGCCGTTACCGAATAACAACAAATACCCCACAGAGGAGTGACTGTGGAACTAAGTGTTGGAAATACCTAGAGTACGTGTGTTGGATGTTGTTCTCAATTGAATGTGTCGGATGAATGAGAAGTGTGCTGGGTTGAATGGATGAAATGTGCTGTGTGGGTTGGTGGATTTGTTGAACATCTGTTTGTTCATTGAACAAACAGAAAACAAAATAAACAACAAAAAAAACAGTGTGGCCAGATTGCCGGCGGCGCTGGTATGCTCGCGATTGCCGGGCTTGGAGCTCGCCGGAGGGGGTGGTCCTTGCCAGCAATCTGTACCGAATACACACACCATCACAAAAAAATCATACCAGCAAAAATATATTAAAGTTAAAGGGCTCAAAGTAGTCTTTCTCCATTTCCCTGCGTACTAGTCTATCGAACAATTCTTCTCCTGGCTGATGTTGTTGCCAGGAAATAACCCTCCCACTCGGGATTGAATCCCGCCATGACATCCAATAGTAGGGATGTCCCAAACTTTCCCCGCAGACAATACCTTCCCTACTTACCGCCGCGTTTACTGAATTTTAGCCAGTCATATTAATTAAAATAAAACTTGGAAAGTAGTATTTTCATTTATACATTATAAAAGTTGTTTTATTAAAAAAAAAGGAATTTATATAAACGAAAATATCGGAATAAAATTTACAAAAATTTACTTTTAGATGACGATTTCATATTTTACTCTTATTTCTAGTTTTAATTTTAAGATTTTAGTTTTAAATTTCAATTTTAAAATTTTAGTTTTAAATTTTAATTTTAAGATTTTAGTTTTAAATTTCAATTTTAAAATTTTAGTTTCAAATTTTAGTTTTAAAATTTTAGTTTTAAAGTTTAATTTTAAAAATTTAGTTATAAATTTTAATTTTACAAATTTAGTTTTAAATTTTAATTTTAAAAATTTAGTTTTAAAATTTGGATTTTTTTTTTTTTTTTTAGTTTTCGACGTTTCTTTTCCAAGTTAGGTTTAATTCAATAGTTCCCTTCTGATAATAATAATTTATAATTTCACTTTCTCAACCTCTCGGATTTATTACCGATTTCCGGCTCTAGTTCCTGGCGGCCAACTACTTTATCGGAAGTATCTCCCAAATGAGGATAGGGTAGATGGATATTTCCTGTTCGTGACGTGTCCAGATGTCAAAGTAGTTTGAGGTACGAATAAATTATAAATTCTCTAATTCCTTTTATTTATTTCTAAATAATTATATATATTTTTTTTTATTAGGAGAATTACCTATATAAGATTTAGGAAAATCTTGGTTAATCAACCTCGCGACTCACTGATCCCTAGGCCAGAGCTCTAACCTAACTCGCGCACGCGTGGTTAATGTTCACACGCGGGATGAAATTTACGAGACGTAAGACTTCCTATTTTTTTATATAAATATCTCACTATTCACTTTTTTTTTTAATATATATTTATCTTTTTTTTTTTTATTTTCTTAAAGAAAAGGAACCGAATCGAACGTCCGTCTATGTGTCCCGGTATTTCACTGTACTGTAGTCGGAATATCACCAAATATACCCTAGCACCCCAGGCGTGGTGATGCTAATGCGGCTGCTCCCTCGATGGATGGAGTTTGGTGTTGAGTGGCTTGCAGGTTTGTTTATTTAGCTTTTTCTTATTTTTATTTTGAAGATTTAGTTTTAAGTTTAATGTTAAGTTTACAATTTCTTTTCAATAAAATTTATTTAATTTATAAAAAAAAAACAAAAATTTAGTTTTTTTTTTGTATGACGGAGCCACAACTCCACCTTCTTCTTTGTTGGCCCAGTTCGATTAAAAAAGAACGAATTTGTCCTCGTTTCCTGCCTCGAAACCTAGCTTTATCGAAAAGATGGCTGATATTTTTTTTTTCAGCTATTTAAAATTCATAGTTTTGTTCATTTGTTTTTGTTTACCAAATTTCCATTTGTCAAAGATGACAAGAAGTATAGAAAATCCCTTTATTTTTTTGTTTACTCTTCTTCTTTTTATTAGTAGCTGTTTATTAGGGAGGTGCACACTACAGAAATGTAACTTATACAAGTAATACCATTGAATTTTCCTTCCTTATCCAGGTATGTATGTTCAGGGTAAACTCTGTTCATACCAGATTTATCACAGTGTATCACAGTGAGTAAGAACAAAGTCTCGGCTTATTTGATGGATTCGTATTTCGGTCTACCGGTTACGTCTCTAGGTGCTGTTGCCGACTCAACAGAGATGTTTTTGCATCTCGGAAGTTACGCAACGGGGCAGCAATGGTCAGAGATTAGAAAGTGCACGTAGACTGGACCGTAAATTCCATATACGCAAATTGCTACCTGCGTGTAAGAAGCACAATGGGGCGGTGGTTAGTCGTTGCAAAAGCCATCAAGGTAGGTGTTCACGTTAAGCACTTCGACATTTGGGTCTCAGGGATAAAGTCTGTTAAAAATGGTTAAAGTCGGTCCATTATTTCACCTAGTCCCCATACAGAAAAACGGTACAACTATGTTTTTTATTTGCGTTGATGATCCTGAAAAATTTTGTAATTATCGGGCATCACTTGACCCTAGCCCACATACAAAGACCTCTTTAGAAAATTAGTTAAATGTCCACCATTCGCTTAAATCCATCCATCCACCCAGTCCCGATATAAAGCCTCTTTCGGAGGCATATAACTTAAATGCTTTATTATGAAAATGATCATATGCGTAGGTACTTTATATCCGGAATAAAATCTCTTCAAAGATGTTAAGATATTTTGATCTAATTTTAACGAAATCCTGCCAAGAACAGATAAAGTGTTCCAACATATCTCCGTTCTTTCCTAAGTCTGAATCCGTTTGTCCAATTTTGTATAGTTGTGCCCGTGTCCACTAACAATACGTGTCATCATAATAAGCCCGGACTTCTTCATCCTGAGGTTAGGGAAACCTCATAGTATAGCTGTATGTCTTGGTTAAAAAGTTTTATAAAAGCATTGAACATTCGGAAAACTGGTGCTAATATAATTAGAAGATCCAATCCAGTTTTAAATGTCCCATTACTATAAAAAATCTTCAGAGTTTCACTATCCTCTCCATATGCTTTACATTCGCCTGAATCCGCCCGTATTCTGTGTGTCCACTTAGAGTACAAACCATCATACTAACCTCGGCTCTTTTCGTTGCGGTTATCCCATGGGATATTTGTTGTTCCACAAACTACTTCATTATGTCAAGGTGCCGTATATGTTTATCTCGCCTATGTTTATAATTCAGCCCTCGTTGTATGGAACACTTTTTGCATTCTTGAGGTTAACTTCTTTCGTTGCCAATTATTCCTGAGTGGAGCGGTACCCATTTGATACAAAGCTTAACTCTGGAAGAGAATTTGGTTAAGACACTCTTACAGTCAAATACTGTTTTAGATTTAACCTTATCGCTAGATATCAGCCTTAATTGCCTTCGAGCTGTCGGTAATTCTAATCTAGTTTTCACATCCGTTATTTCAGGGACTTCTGCCTTGAGGTTAGAGTTGTAATTAAGTAGACGGTACTAAATTTCTGGATTTTCAATATTGAACCACAAGCCCACTTTGTCCACCAGTTTAGAACCATCCGTATAGCAACGGATTTCTAGGGGTATATGCTCTAATGTTCCGCTTGACCATAATGTAGGATGAGTATTTCAAAGTTCCCGATATATTCTGCGTGTGGTATGCGATCAGGGACGTCCGATGTTTGTTTATAGCCTTCCAATGCGTCCAGAATACATTAACGACGTGTCATATAAACGCCTTTAGTCATTTTGTCAAAATTTAAGAGTAAAATCCGCTTCGTATCTTAGATATGCTTCAATAAAAGGAATATCGCCAAAAAAATTCAAAGAGTTGATTGACGTAGTGCTCACGAGCCCACACACACCCAAGCAGCATGTACAGTGCTACTGAAGTTAGAATTGGTCTAATCACGTTTTTAACAAGCCAGCCTCTATTCTAGCGCCCAGCATCCATATGCCTTGTAGGTGCAATTTCCGGAGGAGAATTACATAGTGTTAAAAAGTTTTCAATTTCCTCCTCTTAAGTTAAAAACACCCATTTTTTCTCATTGTGTATTTAAAAACTATGAATGCTAATTAATAAATAAAAATCACTACGCAAAAATTTAAGTGTTCATAATGAATAAAAGAGGAGGTTCTTATTTCTACATTTCTTATATGACTATAAAGAAGACAAATATTAGGGTCTTCAATATTTTAGCACTTGAAAATAAAAACGAATAATTTTTCGATATATAAAGTTGTTCAATTATTTAAGCGCCAGTCTATTAAATCATATGTACTCTTATAATTATGATGAAATATTTTCAAATTCATACACATTTATACTCATATTTATATTTTTCCGTTTAAGAAATTGCTCATATTTATGATTTAATCATACTGTTGGCGCTGTCACATTATGTTGGACTGTCGTGTCAAAATGATTTAATTTAATGATCAAATTTGCCGACTGCATTATAATCACACATCAAAATGACAACTTAATTTTTCTAATTGCTTATTAAAAGTGAATAAAAATTCGATATTTCATTGGTGTTTTTTTGGGGTAAAACGCATCAATAACTATAACATAAAGAATGGCGATTGGATTTGATGAAATTTTGAGGGTGTTTAAGTTTTAAGGAAGAATTTAAAAACTAAAGCTAGTTTTGATGTGTAATGAAATGATCGCCGAAAAACACATTGTGCTAATGTTGGTATATCAATATACCTTCTAAAAATCGATTATTGGTGTGAAATATAGATAATTTATATTGAAGTATTTTTAGTGATTTAATCACCCTTTAAGTTTAATTATTGTCCGACGATTCAGAAACTCATTCACATTGATTGTGCTTGATATTGATTGAATCAGTGATGTTTTAATCGTTTCTCCTTAGGGATGTAATATCCGGTATCATATTGCTCCCAAAGTGTTTGGACCTAATTTCTGCTTATAGCCAGTAACATTCGTCATATTCCTCTAGTCCAATTTAGTGAAGTTGTGCTTGTAGACCTGTATGATCACTGAGGAGACTTCTACTCAGTGTTATCTTGCCCATGCTTTTCATTTACAGTCTTAGACATAACCTTATTGGCTATTAATACATTTATTGCCTTTGGACTATCAGAAAATATGTTTACGTCTATCTGCGCTATATTTAATCACATTTACCTAATCAGTAATAGCACCCATGTGTCTTGTTGATCCTATCCTCTGTTAGGATTATATTTAAATACTTTACTCCGTCGGTCCTCTTTTTGTCCAGGAAACATTGCCCCCGGGACATGTTACCTTGCTGATCTTCCCCTCATTTTAGTTTGATTGTAATCCGGGGGAAAAGACGGTTCTATAAACTCGTGAAGATCAAATACATACTCGGTCTTTCTTTTAATGATTTGACTTGTGGTTAAAAGAGAGAGAGAGCAATATAATCTGGTACCACAGGAACCGGTATCCCACAGGACAGCGTTTCAAACTTTATCTTGTCCCGGTTATTGGAGAGATCCCTTCGAGGTGCACGTGGTGGCTGTGGTGTAAAGCCAAACTAACAGTAAGAGAATGTTGGTTAAAGGACTGATGCTCGGTTCTATAAACTCGTGAAGATCAAATACATACTCGGTCTTTCTTTTAATGATTTGACTTGTGGTCGAAAGAGAGAGAGAGAGCAATATAATCTGGTACCACAGGAACCGGTATCCCACAGGACAGCGTTTCGAACTTTATCTTGTCCCGGTTATTGGAGAGATCCCTTCGAGGTGCATGTGGTGGCTGTGGTGTAAACCCAAACTAGCAGGAAGAGAATGTTGGTTAAAAGACTGATGCACGGTGAAGTCTATAATTTTGGACTGTCAAGAGTACTCAAAACTCTATGTAGGAAGATCTTTCATATATTCGTCTCTCAAACAAACCCAGTCAGTGAATTAAATTTTTACTCTCTGTCGATCATTCTCTTGAAAAAACTCATCTTTGTAGGACATGCATAACGAGGAACTCGGAGAAACTAATTTGAAGTTCATAGGTGTTATCATGAAGAATTAGTGACCATATTTAAAAAGAAAAGGCTGAAGGAATTATGTTATGCGAACTTCGAACTTAGTTTTCAATATTTCGACTGTATTCTATGCAGCATGGCACATTGTTCCGTTCAGTTGGAATCGTATAATTGCCAAGTTCATATTCGAATGAACTTCAAACTTAATAATTGCCAAACGTATGTACTTGAAGTGTATATCTCTCTAAATAGAATTGCGAAGCTAACTCCACTCCCAATCGAGAAATACTAACAGCAAAATGAAGAGCGTTACATATTGATTTTAAAGATGATCATGGTAAGAGAGAAAAGATTTAGTCGAGTTTTGAGTTATATAATAATCTTTAGAAAATTAAATATTTTGAAGTGATCGTTGCAAGAAAGAAGTGAAAAATTAAAAAAACTTTCTTAAAGTGTGAAAATCTCTATGATTAATTGGTGTATAATCTGGTTTGGTTTTTGGCAAAAATGTCAAACAAAAATGAAAGTAATATAACTTTTTGATCACATTTAATAACTTGATGGCAACATAAACTAAACGATTTTTTCAGATTTTACAATAAGTTAAGAAAGAAATA